CACTGAATCGGAAGTTTAGACTGGCCAAGCTATGCAGGCTGGAGAACAAAGAATTGGGAAGAAAACCTAATTTTGTGCCAGTGCTTCAAAACTGCAAATAAGATCACTTGGGTAACTGCAGACTAAAACTGAGGTCAGATAAAAGTATGGAAATAATGATGTACAATTGAGTCAAAAGAGACTACAATGATGGTAGCATAATTAATGCGAAGTGTCATGATTTCAAATAAAGTGTTTTATTAAATAATGTATTTTAAAGATATTGCAGATTTAATTTAGTAATTAATTGAGATAGATTGCTTAAACGTGGAAGTTGACGTAGCTCTGTGTTTAATATGATTCTTAAGGCTTTCAACTGTGTTGTCTGGAAATCATCAAAATGGAGGTCAGTGAAGAGGAGGCTAATCAGCAATTCGATGTTGATGCAGTAAACCAGAGTTTATTGTAAAGGAATCATTTAGCAAAACAGATTTTTTTTTTTCTTCCCTCCAGAATTTGATACCACAATCCTAGCTTTTAATGCAAGTAGAAGTGCTTTTCAAAGTTGATGAGAGCTGGGAACATTAGCCCCTTTAAAATCTCCATCTGATTTAATGCTTTTTATTTGAAACTCCCATATAAAACAGTGTCTGGAGTAGCTACTGACAGCTTCAGGAAGACTAAAGGTTTGGTATTTATGCTGTAGCATTTCCTCCATGCTTATCCCTCTGAAGAGATCCTCCATGTCTGTCTTTTTGCTGTTTCATGAGGCTTGTTTGGGGAAAAACAGGTGTCTATAAGAGGGGGAGAGCAAATCTTGAGTTTAACCCAGGAAAGGCTGTTTTGTCTTTGGTGCAGATTTGATTCAGCTTGGCTCCTTGCTTTGATGCTTCAGTTGGTATTATTGTAAAGCTTCCTGATATCTGCAAAAACCTGATAAGTATTCATAACATTGATTTGTGGTTCCAGTAAATAATCTGGAAGTAGAATTTAAGGAGGTAACGTTTCTTTGGGAATGGTCTATATTGACCTACTGCAAACTTTTTGTGAAGCGTCAGATTTGTTTGTTGATAATGTAGAGACTTTGGACTACATTCCAGCTTTTGAGTGGGCAGTTTCTACTTAGGGCCACCATCCGTTAGCTGTACATTAATCAGTTTAATAATAGTCAGCTGGGGTTTTAATAAAGTTTTTTACAAAAATTGCCTGCTCAGCTGCTAAGGGCTGTGGGGAGTTACTAGACAAACAGCAATGCATATTTGCCTTGGAGTATTGTTGAGAACATACTTTGCTATCAAGGTAATATATAGCCAGATCTTGTAGGATATGCTCTTTTTTTTTTTCTTTTTTTTTTTTTTTAAATTGCCTTTTGCTGATCTTTAGTTAATGCAGTTTTCACATTTCCTGTGAAGGAGCCGGCCAAATTAATATGCTGATATATTTATTTTGAAATTCCAGGCTTAAATTTTATTGCAACTATTTGGTCCATTTTCTCCTCTGTAGAGTATTGCCTGATTTTTGCACCTTTTTTTTTTTTTTTCCATTCAAGATATTGCTTGGCTTGGCTTGGCTTGTGGTCAAAGTGCATTAATTTGATTTCCTTTGTAGCAGTGTGGAAGATTTTCTGCTTCTGTTCCTGGATGAAAAGGAAACTTTTTGCTTAATTGAGGCCCAGAGCTCAACCATGGATGCTTGTGGAGAGAAGTTGAAAGGACCATGAGTAAATTTGTGACTCACCTCTAGAAGCCTTTCTGAAAAGGCCATTCCTTTCTGCTTATTCATCGATGTTGCCTGATAAAGGCATTGCTCATCTATCTCAGTGTCATTATTAATCAGTGTAAGGTGATATTTTATGACTGCGGACTTTCATTCACTGGTTTGGTTTCTTGTAGAGAATTTGAAAAATTGTGAAGCTGATGTGTTTGCTTAATATATTTTCTTTATCTGTTAATTGAGAGCTGTGTTCTACAGTACATCCATGACTTATAGAGAACTTGAGACATCGTCGGTATGTCCAGTTTAATCCAAGGAATCAAATGTTTATGTGAGAGTTTTATTGTAGCGTTTTTGTTTTGAATACAAATCTGTAGGATTTTTTTTTTTAAAGGTGTCCAACTTCCGTCATTCATAAGCCAGTTTTCAAAAAATGCTTTGGTACTTCTTGAAAGTATATTTTTTTTTTTATCCTTCATACTGTATGCTTCATTCTAAGATAATGCATAATACAATATACAGTTGCTGACCAAAAAATGGCAGTGTACAAACTGATGTTGTCAAGCTGTCTCACTCTTCAAGAGAGTGGGAACATACTACTGCTGTGGGTTTTTTTTAATTCCAGTAAATGTGGACTAATGGCCCACTAAACTAGGATTTCCATTCCTTATCTAGGAGATCATTAATGCATCCATGAGTAGTTTCGTAGATGATTGACGTTATTGAAATGGTAGAGGAGCTGGGCTAATGTAAAGGTCCGCGGAGTGGTGAGGATAGCTAATGGGTTTTAATTTTTTTCTTACATGGGATTTACTCCATTCAGGTGGTTCTGTGTATGTTCTGTGCATGTTCCTCGTATAGGGAGGGAACAAATTCTTTCTTCCCTTGCGGGTCTATGGGATAATCCTACAAAGCTGTCTTTGCACAGAGCGTACTGTTTCTAGAATCAGATGAAGAAGAAGAATTGAGGAAACGAGGAGTTTTTGGCACTTGGTCAGTGATGAAATGCTTCTAGTAAAGCATGAGGGGAGAATAGCATGTTAAATGTACTCGCTTTTTTCCATTCCAGTTTCATATGAGTAGCAGAGAATTAATTTTGACCAGTAGAGTCCTTTTTTGTTTGAACAAAGTATTTGGAAAGCCATCCTCTCTGGTTACATGTTTGGAAACATAAGTAATGTGGTGTTCCATAATGCTAATGAAACCTTAGCAGCAAATGAGAGCTTTGTGGACTAAAGAGCCTAAGTAGGACAGCAAAGGCTTTGTTCTGCTGCGCACTGAAGGAAGTCAGTTCTTAATGGTATTGCATGCTGGCTCCATGCCAAAAGCACCTTTTTGGAACTTCCTTTGGATGCCAGATTGATGTCGTTAGCGTAATTATAAAAACAAGTGCAATATAAAAAAGAAAGGCTTCTTGAGATTGCTGATGTATTTCTGTGCATATGTGCAGCAGTGGTTTGACACTACAGTACGGTAACTGCCTCCCTCTTCCCGCACACGAACAGTGCACGGGCAACTTGTCTAAAAACGATAGCCGGAATGTCATTTTATTTGACAAAAGCTATTTAGTGTGGAAATGTCCAGTTGGTGTAAAGTGGGCACATCAGAACAATACGAGATGCAGGCCACGCTTCCCCAAATCTATTCAAATCTTGTCTTTAGTCCCTCGCCTGTCTCTTGGCTGTTTATATGGTTCTCTGGTGAAATGGATGAGGGAATGTGGTTGTGTTTCTGGTGGAGAGAGTGATGCAGAGGCAGGAGCACCTGGCTGGTAGCGTGGGTGCTTTTGGGTGGCAGTGCTTGCATGCCATGGGATTGAAGTGTTCAAGGCACTACCAGCCATGGTTGTTAGTCCATGGTGTAGGATACTAAGAGCCGCAAGGCAAGATTTGGGAGCGACCTTAATCCCGCTATGTTCTTTTTTTATTGTTGGTTGTATATAGTTATGTTGTCTTGGTATCTCTTTTAGTGAATACATTTTCCTTGAGTTTCAAGCCCTGCAGCGTTTTATGGCATTTTTTTAATTTAACTTCAGATCATCCTACTGCATGTTGAAATTGAACTTAAATTGCTAATACTAAAGGTTGACATAATTCGTTACGTTCAGACAAGTTACCGCATCTGCAAGACACAGCTTCTGACAAACACCCCTCAGTTTTTTGTGCAAGTTAAATAAACTTTGCCTTTAAATGCTTTCTTCAGCTTTTTTTTTCCCCCTACTTTTTATTTTTTAAATTTGTTATGAAGTGTATTTGGATTCAGCATATACAGGACACAAACTTTGATGTTGCAGTTGCTTGTCTTTTTTGAGTAACTTAAGTAACTTAAGAAAAATTTATCCTAAATGCTGTTGTAAGCTGAAAATCCTCGATTTTTTTCACTGTGGCAGATTTTTTAGCATGAAGTACAAATGTGCTAGACTAAAGATATTTGGTAGGCTGTATTTTGTACCTTTATTCATTCCTGCCTAATTCCTAACCCCCGTATTTGCACTTGTTTTTTGAATTTTCAACTTGTCCTAATTAGTGTATCTTCCACCTGTTCGTCAGTACAGAATACAGTGAAAGATTGGTTTTGAAGATGATTTAATGTCCTCAACTTTTTGAGGAAAGTGTGTTTTATTTTTGACTGTTTATCTTCTTTGTTTTGTGCTTTTGCTTTGCTGTGACTTTCTTAGTGGCTAAGGACAGGTTTGCTTTCTTTGGAATCTCTTGCTAGAGCCCGTGAACTGTTATGTAGATTTGCTTTAATAAATGTTTTTCACATGCAGACTACACCCAGCTTAGTCATGCAGCTATAGTTTGTATTCTTTTTCTTTCAGTGGGTAATCATAAGAATTGAAGTAATTTTTGTAATGCAAATTACAACTTCTTGTGTTTTAAAACTGCCAAACACATCTTTTTGTTGAACAGTCTCTTACTTACCTAATACTGATCTTTGGTTACGTCTTTGTTATCTTGGTGTAAAAGATCCACTTTTGAATTAAAGGATTTTTGGGGGGGGGGAAAGGCACATTTGCATTGTGAAAGTGATCAAAGACTGCATACAACATAAAATGCAAGTATTTAGAGCTGATTTTACAGAAGGAAGTGGATCTGTGCCTGCACATACAGCTTACTGTTCTGGTATATGGCTGGTGTGTATGTATATGTATATATGCACATGACTGATTTATAACTTGAAAAACTTCTATCCAAGTAGCAAGCATTCCCTCACAGCACAACTCATGAATAAATTACATGTCGTTTCTGGTGCTGCTGTGATTCTTAACTAATTCTGGGTATTTTTGTTTCCTTTTGTTTTTAAAGGATCAGTTTGATAACTTGGACAAGCATACACAGTGGGGCATTGACTTCTTGGAGAAATATGCAAAATTTGTAAAAGAAAGGATAGAAATTGAGCAAAACTATGCAAAACAACTGAGGTAAGGATTTTTTTCTTTTTCTTTTTAAAAGAATCTTAACAGTTACTTAAAATCACTGTATCAGATGATGGGCAAGTATGTAATGTCGTGATTAAGGACCATTGTTCGTTTACAGAGTGAATTAGATCACTAGTTCTTTTCATGACAGACAAGTTTTTCTTCACCGGTCCAAACCAGAAAATTATCTTTGGGTATGCGCTTGCTTGCTTGCCTGTTTTTGCCTTCTTCCCTCCCTCTCTTCCCACCCACCCTTCAAATCTTTGAACTAAAAAGGTTGAAGATTAAAATGTTAAGATTCAAAACAAAACAAAGCCATAGTAATATTTTTTCCACTGACTGTCAGCGTGTTTGTTGCAAAGCACATTATCCATATCTACATTTTTGAGTGCGTGTGTGTTCAACCAGCTTCAAGCCTCTGCTACTAATTCATTTCTCATGTTGAATTGGCAAAAGCTGCACTACATTCTGTTAAGAAATCTGATTGAAATCATCGAGTAGAACTTGAGAAAACAGCAGATCTTTCTGCCCTTAAAGCGCGCCCTTTCTGTGGCTGGTCTTGTCCCTTTGGGTGAGACTGTAACCCAACAATTCTTTGTATTACCCCTCCGGTTTACTTTCTCTTGGTGCCAAGTGAAACATCTTTTAGGTCCAATAGGAATTTCCCCTCAGGGATCGTACAAGAAGAGTAGCAGCAATGAAATAGCAGAGAAGCACATTCTTCAGAAGGAAGTAGGATTGAGTTTTACCAAAAGGTGCACACAGTGCTTGAAGAGCAAGGTTTAAAATAAGTCACTCCTATGAACTTGGCCTTCACCGTAATCTTTGCTGTCTTGAATTCCTTTGGGGATTCAGCTGAAGCTGCTGCCTAGCCCTTGTCAGACTGAAACTGATAGCAGCTCCTCTCCTGTGGTGGTGTCCGTCGTCTCATCATCGGCAAACTAGATTGTCACCAGATACAGAGTTGAGGAATCCTTCCTCATAAATGCAGTAATGAGGCTCACAGTTGAGGGTACGGATGTTCTCTGTCTAGGCTGCTTATTTCCTTTTTGGTTTCTTTATCAGTTTCTTTTGATCCAGTTCTGTTATATTCACCTAACATAATACCCCATTACTTTACTGAAGGAATTTTTTTCTTAAAAGGAAGGAAATAAATACCACTTTTCCAAAGCTGGCATAGAAGAACTTCAGGAGGTAAAGGAAAGTTTGAAGCATGCACAGCACCAGTTCACAGCCCAGTTTTGATTTGTTTTCAGTTGTCTGTTTAAAAATGGAAATGTATTTTATTTGCACAGATCTACCCAGATCTTTTTCTTAAGTAGTATTAACAAATACCATTTTGCTTAATTATATTTAAAGGTTCATTCCACAGCTAGCAAGATGAGACACCGCATTATTACTTCAGGATTTGACTAAAAATAGGAAGTCTTCTCAGTTTCTTCTGGGTAAAACTATTGATTTTTCTCAAACTGTCTTTCAAAAACGAAAGAGTTATGTCGAGTACCCCTTCTGTCAGAGGACTGACTGACTGTCCGTGTGCAGTAAGTATGACAGTTTTGGGAAGCACAGGTCTTGCTGCACACACGTTGTACCGTGCATGCATGCACCTCCTGCCTGCCGCCAACAAGGGTCTGGACAGCACGCACACGAGAGGGTGACTGATTTTCTGCCAGTAGACCAGTTCATGAAGATCCTCTTCGATATACTTGCCTGTGTATTCCTTGGGGGAGAATTTGATTGTTAGTAGTGAACTGTCTTCTGATAACAACTTGATTTCAGCTGTCATTGCTCTTGAGGACACTCACTGTTTTTAACCATGTGAAACGGTCATGAGGCCCCAGAGGAGATTGAGATAAGCAAAATTTTCACCTCTAGAAGAGTAAGCCAGCCTGCAGCTTGCTCCTTAAAAGTTCTGAGAGAGAAGATCTTGGGGATGGACTGTGGTTCTGGTGAACCTTAATGCTGGCAGCATATGGCCTGTGAGATAGATACTAATGTCTCTGATAGAAATTTCTAGTTTATCATCGTTTTTTCCTTTTGTAATGAAATACAATTGGAAAAATACAGTGTTGAGAATCTCTTCATAATTAACTTCATAACTGAGATTAGGTTGTTTAGTAGATGTGTAAACAATACAGTGAGTAGTCACCTCTTGTAGTTCTACGGCTCTCTTAGTACTTGGATGGGAGACCAAGAAAAAACAAGTTTAATGAGGGAGATAATGCTAGTGATGTATGGTGGTATTTTTTTTTCTGTCTTGGTTTCAGCGTGGGCCGTGAACATTCTGTTGAGATTGTTGATGGACCTTATTCTCGTAGACTTAAACTCAAGGATGAAAAGTTGAGTGACTTTTTCATAACAGTTTTCACAAATTAGAGTCCATGTCCTGGCAGAAATTCATATTCTCTTTGTGTATACCCTTGCATTTTGGTAATTTTTTTTCTTTTATACTGTCACAACAGAGTGATGAGACTTTCCCAGGTGCAACAGCTGTTTTGAGTCTTCTAGGAGATGACAAGTGATGCATGTACATCATATGAGGAACTGTTTGAGCGAACTCGCTATATTCTTACTGTATGCAGTTATTGCAGTTTATGGTTGCTGAATAATTCCAGAAATAGTTTGTGAGAATCCTGTCCAAATTCTGTTTTTAGGTTGCAAGGCATTCCTTGCTATTCTTCTTTGATAGGCAATTCTTGATACTGAGAAAAAGCGTAAGAAAAATTGAAACAACTGAGGAATCCTCAAATGTCTACAGAGAAAACAAAAAACCTGTCTAGAGAGCTCTTCTTGTCTTCGTCTGCAATATACTTTGTTCTGAAAAAAAGCAACTATAATTTCATTTTTTTTGAGCTAAGTTAAAGGAAAATCTTAAGTTTTGTGTAGCTTAGGTCTCAGCTAATGTTGTGGTACCTCAAGGATTGTGAGGGTTATTATAGGCTGTTACTGAGTTACAGGGATGTGAATCAGGACAAACATATTGCAATATACATTGTAGATTAATATATTTAATTTTAATTATATGGTTGGTTAATTTGTTCTTATTTTATAATTGTAAAAAACAGATTTTGTATGGGCCAAATAACTGGGCTCTTGGCTGAATTTTGGAATTGAATTCTCAGATGCTGTTTTTGATCAACATTGTTGCTTAAAAGGGGCGAGGCAACAGTCTGTTTTGTTTACTTCCACATCATCACACACAAAATAATTCCGGAGGTTTACTCCCTTTCTGTTCTGTCTGAAGCATGATGACACTGGAGAAGACAAGGGAGTTCTGCTTCCTGTGATGATAGGCAGTAAGACAAGTTATACCTGCAGTTACAGATGAAACTGCCATGCAGAATAAGATTGCTGAATTTGGTCAGCTTCCCTGTTGTCAGTTTAATGAAAATAGCGATGATTGTTCTTGAACTGTTTGAGTGTTTCCATTTAAAATAGTATGTTGTGATCTCTGGAGATGTCTAGTTAATCTAAGCAAATGTATTTTTCATGTTCCTTCTGCATACTATTGTGTATGAGCGGGGTTTTTTCCTAAACACAATATTAATATATGCATATGTCTAGTCAAATTGAGACATAGTTACCACATTTTTATATGCAGAATCTTGGAAACATTATTTAAAACGGGTGTAAGCTCAAATGTGAAGTTGGGGACACAAATTTATCACCATATGTGTTCATTTCTCAAATCTCTCTTCCTTTGATTGGAGCTGAGAATTTACGCTGTTGATTATTATCCGAATATGGATGTGGCAGGTTTTTTTATAGTGATGTTTCTGCAAGCCAAAACATGCAAATTCTTAACGGTTCCAAGGATATTCAGCTTTGTAAATTCAAATTCCATGTTACAGTATTTTAAGTTTCATCTCTTCAGTTAAAACTTATTCTGATGACATGTTACTAAATACAGTTCATTGTCATTGTTCTCACCCCGTCCATAATACTGATATGCAGTCACTGAAGCCATCAGAACCCTCTTGAAAGTATTACTTTACACATAAATATGAAATGACTTTAAGTACTTACTGCATTTTTTTTAGTAACTTAGGAAAGCAGACTTCGACGTTTGTTCCCAGGCTTGTTTGCAATATGGTGTAGAGGCTGTAGAGGTTTAGTATAAGCAGATGCCACAGTACCTGAGCTGCTACCTTAGTACCAATTCTACCATATTGATGATGCTGCTCCCATTCTTTACGTTCTATATTAATTGGCTGAAGGAAACTTAGTTTTGAGTTGATAAACACAATGTTTTTACAAATATCTGTAAAATTTTATGTACATGTTTTACGTACATGACTATAAATAATTTTAATTTATTAACTAGGGTGCTTTTTGAAACTTATGGCTATGTGACTGAGGTACTACTACTCTTAGAAATCAGTAATACAGTCCAGGCTGCTATCTCACTGGTGTTGACCTGAGACTGAGGTGTACTGAGAAGAGAGGTTGATAAAATTACAGGAGCAGCACAACTGGATGTGGTTAGTCCTGTATAAAATTTGCTTCCAGATGGCTGTAAGACAGAGGGTGGTAGCAGAAGTCTAAATTGTACTCCAGAGAGGATTATAAAGTGTCATCAATGTACACTTTTCTAAGGAAGCATAGAGCATTTATCCCGTAGATTTGGTTCAGTTCAGATTGTCTGCAATTATTTCTGCAGTTTTCTTCTAAACTAGTCCAGATCCATATTTGGATCCTGAGGTTTAGGCACACGTTTAGAAAAAAAAATGTTAAAGAATGTTATGCCCCCTTAAAGTGTCAGCTGGCTCTTCTTTAAAATAGTGCTTCAGTCTTCAGATCCACACTCATACTAGCTGCTTGTCAACCTGCATTTTTTCAAAGATTTAAATCCAATTTCTCTGCTTTTTCTAAGTGTTGGTGTTCACTTCTTGGAAAAGCCATTTATGCTTCATTGTTCACATGAACTCTGGCTTTTTCTTCGAACTCTGCATTTGCTTCTTGTTTCATATTTATCGACTTTGATTATTGTACCTCGTGCTGTTCCTGAACCTTAAATCCTGATCACACAGCGTCTCAAAACTATGTTCCTGTGATCCTAAGGTAGACAAGATTGACTAATGAAACTGACTTTTATTAGGAGAAAGGATTATATAATATTTTTGTATTCTTAGAAATAGTAAACAGTTGCACTAGAAAATGAAACCAGAACAGAAATCAGCATGCTAGTAAATAATCTATATTTGTGACACTTCTCTCCTGCCCCTTTAAACGGTATGTTTTTTAGTAAGTGGTTTCTTTTCTCACTTTTAACACCTCTGAAAAATCTTCCCTTGAAAAGGCTCGTGCGTGGTTGCTTAGCTACAGCAGTGTGTGCTTGTTACGCATTCCACCTTCTGAATAATAATAAGGTGAATTTTAAGGGTTTCCCATGCATTAAAGGAGCAAAGCAGAAATGTAAGGGAAAATGAAACATGGGAAAGTTACTTAGCGAAGAAGATTTTTTTTTTTTTTTTTCTTTTACTTGGGTTTAAGCATTTTCCAATCAAAATGCCTGCCTTTAATCCCTACCAAGTAGAATTTTACAACAGGCAGTTGATTCTGGTGATAGCAAAAAGAGATTCTTGTTTTAACTTCAGTGAGAAAGTTCTTACAAAATTTGTAGATACTTTTTAAAAAGTCAGTGTTTGTTCTGTTTCTTAGTCCATGCTGATGTAAAAAGGACTATCTTATCGCGGTTGTTCTTTCTGGTTGTAGTCTCTGAGGGTATGGAAAGAGACAAAGGGTCTGAGCTTGCTATTTCCACACTGACTCCCTGCTCATATTTTGGTATATACCTCATGAATGAACATAGTCTCACTGCTTGTACCCTTGTACCATAGAGATAATGCGGCTTCCAAGTAAATTCATTCGAGAAGTTGCACAAGGTTATTTTAGAGGAAAGCAGGATTGGCACCCTTGTTTTAATGATAAGGTAGTTCATAGGTTGCCAAAGTTACCTATGGAGAGTGGGAATGAGATACAGAACATGCATGCCATATTTCGTTTCACAGGATCTTCTCTTATTCCTCCTCTCCTTTTTTCTGTAGCGCTGGGGCTGTGCATTGCTTTATATAGTCCACTTCTTTGCTGCTTTTGGGGAAACTGTGTTGGGCTATGTTGATAATCAGTCTACGAAGTCAGCGGCCAATTGTCTCAATTACTACTGGACAAACAGATGGAAGAATTATATCCAGAGGCGCCAATTAAAATGTAGCTGTTAAAGCAGCTCTGCTAGGTTTGCATTGTTTTATACTTAATTGCTTCTTTGGGTGGATGCGTAAAATAGTGTCATTACAAAATACTATTCCTTTACACAATACAGATGTTTGAATGAAGTCTGCTTCATACCAGTTAAAAAGCAGAACCATTCTTTGCATAATCCAGGTCCACCTCAAGAACGCACTTTGAGAAGTCTTCCCTGACAAGCTCAAGGCAAACACTCTGTCTCTTGAACAAAATGATTCACTTGGCCTGCACTTTTGTTGTTGTTTGGGGCTTTTTTTGTTAAGTGGAAGGTATGATTATTTAGAGATGGATGGGGGGGGGGGAAATTGCCAGCATTGTGTTGCTTCTATATTTGTGGATTGTAAACAATAATTGACATGCATTATTTTCTGCTGAGATGTTAATTCACACTTAAATATAATACTTTGATAGTTTAAATGAGAAATATCGTAACAGGCAACCTGGTCCACTTTTTAAACATTGCTTGCAAGTTTTTGATGAAGTGGTTCTAATGTTTGGAAAACAAGAGAATTTTTGTGACGGTGGGCATTGGTACTTAAATCCTGGTCTGTTTAATTATAGTAGTAGATCTCTCTTTAAATACTGTTTGCTGCTTTTAAAAATACACAGCAACTGAGATGTTTTGCTTCTTTGACCTCAAATAGCACAAAGGTTGAGGGTAAGCAATTTGAGAAAAATCCTATGTCTTACCTGTTTTTTTTTTTCATACAAAAAAGGATTCTTTATTTGCTGTAAAATGACAAACTCTCACAGGGAACGGAAAAGAACTGTGGTAGGGTTATTTCAATTTTTCTGTTTCTTGGAAAAAAATGACAATTTTGAAAATTGTTAGAATAAAAAAATGCAACCAATTGAAGGCATGGACATCCAGCTACTAAAAATTAGAAGGAAATTATGGATTTTTTTTTTTTCAAGATTGACAACATGTATCCTTTTGAATTTCAAGAATTTTAAAAGACCTTATTGCTGTCAGAAAAACAATATTGTAGATCAAGGCAGAATGCTGTGCTGGAAAAAATGTGTACTCAGAAGTTTAAAGCAAAGGTTGACGTACAGGAAGATAAGAATTCAAAAAATCATTGGACATTCTCACCTCTTATCCCTCCTGTCTGCAAAATTGTGTGGCTTCATTTCATGTTCATTAACAGGGTTTGGGATATTTGTAGCAATATATGTAACTGCAATTATTTTGCGATTCTTTGTGTAAGCAGTGTATGCCTGTGTTATTTATGCTCTAGGGTAGAGTAGGTGGTGTGGTTCGTATGTTTCTTAAGGTGCTGTTTCTGCGTTGTATGATAAGCAAATGAGTTCATATCAGCATTCTCAGAAGTTGGACTGTGACACTGTGTAAAGTGCTCGTCCTGTGGATCGTCTTTTAGAGATTTTCTTGGTTTCTAAAAACCTGATATTTACAACACTGGTGGTAGCGCAAAATGTAACCTCTTTCCTGAAAAGAGGTGTTGCCTCTTCTGTTCTGGAAATACCCTTATTGAAGATTTGGAGATACTGTGGTTAAAACCTTCGACCTGAATGTACGCTCAAAGCTTAATTCAGGCATGGAGTTTGTGCTCATGGGTATAGCATACACTGTGTGCTACCTATATGTTACACAGTGATTATACATTTGCTTTTTTCTTGTCTGCTACCATCTTTTGCATGTCTGAAAAGGATGTTAAATAAAGAACGTATTATTTTATGTCTAGTCACTGTGCAATAGAGGTTTTAAAATACTTACAAATATATTGTTCTACGTCAAAGAGACTTAAAACTTTGAAAATGCCATAGATTTCTGCCTTGTGTTATCTAAAGGACCCTTATAAGATGACAGAGAGAATAGATTTGTTCATTGAAGTCATTAAGAAGAACTAATTCGTTCATGCAGTTTTCTGTGTGCGTGTCTTCTCTTCTCAAAAGAGACTCTAAAATAGCATCTTTTTTTTCATTCTTCCTTAATAGAAATCTGGTTAAGAAGTACTGTCCCAAACGTTCACCCAAAGATGAGGAACCCAGGTAAAAATGTGCATTTCAAGTTCTGTGTATGAGAAACGAGGACTACAGTATGCTCTGTGCTTTTATGGATTTTTTTTTTTTTTTTTTTTGTAAGATAAAGTATTTAATTGGCTAAGACAACAAAAGAATTCTGCTTGGCTTATTATAGTTCTGCTGTAATTCTTAATCATAAAACCTGAGTTTACTTCTATTAGTATTTTAAAGTAATAAACATGGCAGGTTGTACTTGCTCCGTTCCAAATTAATCTTTAGCTAGCTGAAAGTTTGAAAGCAGAAGTTTAGTATGCTATGTACAGTCTAGGCTTTTTTTTTTTTTTAATAGAAAAGCGATTATGTGTCCTTAGGCTGTGTTTTTTGCTTAGTTTAGTAGAGTTTTTCAGTGCATTTGTATGGCAATGCAAATGTAGCTATATGTTTGTATACTGAGACTTGAGTGTACACAAAATTGTCATGGTTTTGGCAAGAAGAGCTCTTAAACTGCTGACTTGCTTTGACTCTGGAGACAAAATAAGTGAATGTCTAACTGTGGAGGAGGAATTTGTGCTAAGCAAGTTGATGATTATTTATCAGAGGTGCACGTTTTGCTGTCCGTGTCCATAGCCATTTTTTTAATTTATTTAGAAAAACACTACTTTTTTTTTCTTTAGGAATAACTCTTATGAAGGAAAGAAAGTGGGCAGGTGTCAGGTTGCAGCCAGAGCACATGCTGTGCACAGAGTGCCTAAGAATTCGCACTAGGATTTCCTCTAAGTCTTTCCACTATTTAAAGATCCTGGACCACAGGGAATGGGATTTCTAGTGCTAGGGTGGCATTTGAATTCCCCAGAGCCAAGCCTATGGAGATGGCAGTATTCCACAGAGAGAAAGATGTCTATTTTAATGCAGTGCCTATTTTTTTTTTTCCTTTCTACCCTTCCACACACACTTTCTACCCTTTGCCCCTCCTCTTCCCCCCTTTTTAGTGCCAGCCATAGTGGCACCTTACTTCCAGCCAAGAGGTGGGCAGGCAAACAGGCAGCTGTCTCCAGAGCTGATAGCAAACTTGTTCTGTAGATCATCCATCGGGATGCATATGAGTGGTATGATTGGCATGTTCCACCCTCAAGACTACCAAGCACATCATCTCTGCAGCAAGTTCAGCCTCCGAGCCTAGGGACGTATGTATCTGTTCCCAAGCTCAGGCCTCTCAGTTGGCAGCTTAGGAGATACCACTATACTACAGGGCTTTCCAGGTAGTATTATTCTTTCTTTTCCATCCGCAAAAATCCATATTCTTATAAAATGTATTTGAAGAGACATTGCAACATATAGTACGTGCTAGGCTTAATGTAGGCTTTCCCAACTTGCGTTTCTACTGTAATTCAATTAAGATAAGGTTTATTGTAAAATATGTATCTTTTTTTTTTAAATTTATTTCATCAGGAGTGCAGACTATACTAAAAGAAGTCCATTTAAAAAAAAGTCTCACTTTTTGTATATGTATGTTTGTGTGTGTGTGCTTTCTGTCAGGTTTACTTCATGTATTGCCTTTTTTAACATCCTTAATGAGTTGAATGACTATGCAGGACAACGAGAAGTAGTTGCAGAAGAAATGGGACACAGAGTGTACGGAGAATTGATGAGATATTCTCATGATCTAAAAACTGAGAGAAAAATGGTAATTTCTGTATTTTGATTTGATAATAGGATAGCAAAATGGATATATCTTTTAATGAATTGATGTGTTTACTCAATTTAACGAACTTGGCAATAAGTAGGTTTTGTAATACATTTATAAAACACATTTTTTCTGTATTTTTATGTACTGGTTTACTACAGTTATTAAACATAAAAATTAAGATCTTGGGAGATAGTGCTTACTAGTAACTTTTTTGCCAGTGTAATTTTCATCTGTGGTGTACTGTTCTTATAAGATTAGTAGTGTCTTCCAAAAAGTACTGGTAACCTGTGGGAGATACTGCACATCAGTGTGTCAGCTAGAGCAGGGACTAACTAATGGTAATAGTACTAAAAAGGTATGTAAATTAAACTTATTTGTGGTGTTTTTAGCATCTTCAGGAAGGGCGAAAGGCTCAACAGTATCTGGACATGTGCTGGAAACAGATGGATAATGTGAGTTTGTGTTTTGGTTTTTTCCCCCTATCAAACTTAATAATACACAGTCTGTAAATGGAACTGTTGTCATCTTGCTTGCTTAGACTTCAATGTTTAGCTGTATTACTGAATGTCCAAATCAGACTTGGTAACATCCAAAATACAGTTCAATGTATTTCTAGTTCCCTGCTTAAAAAAAATCTCCTGTAAACAGCTTCTGTGTGTATGTTTGAGTGGAGCCTTGGCTTTTATCCAGCGTAAAGGAATCTGTTTTTAACAGGTTGAGTTTGAGTGAAGCCTTGGCTTTTATCCAGCATAAAGGAATCTGTTTTTAACAGGGGTACAGACTTCTTCGGTTGCTTCTGCATGGGCTACTTTTTGTTTAGAGAGTAATTAATAAAGACAATTTATTTTTATGAAGATGAAATCTTAAGTCGCTATATTTGACTTGAGTTTGAGGGCTTGTTACATGAGGTCTGTTCAAGAATACCACTATAGACTATGATACTTTCGGGAGGTAGAATTACTTTTTAACAGAGAAACGCAGGAAGTTAATTTCTCTAGAACAGATGATAAGCTCCTTTTTTCTTGAGAGACATGCTTTTAAAGATGAGAAAATACAAAATTCAACCAAGTATGTTCAAGTTGCAGTCTGATATTCTGCTGGTTTTGTGTCTTAGAAATTTAGTATATCTTTGACCCAGATTATTGTGAAGCAGTACCAGAGAGGTGAATTTGTATTTTGTTGTTGTGGACCCAGATAAACAAGTCTTGCTTCAGTGTCACGTCAAAGAGTTTAATTCATGGTCAGAGGATCAGAGTAGAAGCGGATGTGGTAGTTTTAGATGCTATCAGCCTTCACCAAGATAATTCCCAGAGTTCACTTCAAACAATCAGTTGTGTTGTGTGCACTGTATTTACTTGAGTGCAAAGTCAGTCTTTTAAATGCATACAGCCTTTAAGGGACACATTAACCTCAATTGCCTGACTTTGCACTGAAGCAGGAGAGCAGTGCTCACACAATCTCTGTTGCCAGTTTGTCTCTAGAGATACTAACTTCTTGAGCTGCAACAGTTTTTTTCCTACAACAGTTGTCTTGACAACAGTCGGATATATTGAACATCAGGTACATTGAACACTGTTGTCTGTGCTGCTGACAGCTATGCTGGTTGATATGAATACTGATGATAATGGACGGGTATGCTAAGATCTTGTAATGTAGATAAATCCTTCAGACTACCTTGAAAATTATTTAGCGGAATTTATTCCATTAAAATTGATCACTGAAGAAGGGAACTTGAAAATTTTACTCATACAAGTCCAGGGTTAAGTTTTCTGCCCCCTCACTTTTATTTAGGTTATTGAAGTGAGGCTAGAAAGTGGGCTTGTCTGTTTATAATTAACTACAGATCTTTGTAATAGGTTATTTTGTATTTTGATTATCTGACATCTTATAGCATAATTACAGTTGTTTCTTTTCTGGTACTTCAAGGAAATAAGTTTTAAATAGAAAAGTTGGACATTTTTGAGACTTGGTTGCTGTGAGAACAATGTATTTACTTAAAGGCACTTAGTGCATTTAAGATATTTAAATGGAAGGTTTGATATTTAGAATTCAAAATTACTGTACAAAACCAGAAAGGGATAGTGGCTGCTGAAGCAGTAAGTTTGTGGCTTTTGTAGAGCAAAAAGAAATTTGAGAGAGAATGCAGAGAGGCAGAGAAGGCACAGCAAAGCTACGAAAGACTGGACAATGACACTAATGCGACAAAGGCTGATGTTGAGAAGGTAAGAGCGATGCCATTTCTTTCTTCATGCTCTCTTTATAATAAAAAAATATTTTATTTGCATATTTTTCATCAGTACTGGAATAATATTCTTTGTATAAAATAGTGTATAAAATACGCTTGCTTATTATGTCCAAAATCGAAGTCACAGTGAAATATAAGACAGCACAGAGAGGGAGTATGCTTCGTTAGTCTCGAGATGATGCTGTTGAGATGATGATTACCTTCCATAAACAGGCAGGCTTACTTACTGGTATTTGGTATCTTGTGGTATGTATGTTCAGTCACACCTATCTTTTCTGGGATATGCATTTAAGTGACAGGGCTGAGGGAACTAAAATGGTCACTGCTCTCTGTGTATAACAAGTTAGGTCTGCAGACTGTCAGTATATATGACTTCTCACGTTCTTTTTATTTCAATTATAAGGATGTCAGTTTTGATGACTTGTGATTAGTGGCTTTGTATAGTTGGTAAAATAAATTAAAATAATGCTGGATGTCATTGAAAAGCACAAGACATGTTTGAACTGATAACCCTTTCCTACTAGGCTAAGCAACAGTTAAACCTGCGCACACATATGGCTGATGAAAACAAAAATGAATATGCTGCACAACTACAGAATTTTAATGGGGAACAGCACAAACACTACTACATTGTCATTCCTCAGATTTATAAGGTAAAATAATTCACAGAGAAAGTATGTCTGATCTTGTTTTAAGGGAGAAGTAGATTTTAAAATGTAAAACTTTTATTTTGGGGATTTTAGTGGATAATTTTATCAAGAAATTAGCATAATCTTGATACAACCTGTGTTTTGTCAGGAGACTTACTGCTTACAGTAATTATGCTTACACTTGTAATGAAAATATTCTGTTGCATTTTCTGTGAAGATTTTATATTTTATAGACTTGGTTTAAATATTGCTGAAGAGGTATGGCAAAATAAACATTTGAGACATCTGAGCGAGAGCAAACATTTAAAACAATCACTCTCATAAGGTTTGATCACTAGTTCTCTTGATATTTGTGTGTGTGTGTGTGAATGCTTTGACTCTGGCAAAGATGAAGGAAAGCACCGAGCTAATGGCGGCTGCGTGGTTTAATGTGTCTCATGTATAGGTATAAAATGGGTGGATTGGAGGCAGAAGTACTTCCCCCAGCCTCCCCCCCCTTGGTCACTGCTTCATCAGTATTACCAGCAATCCACAGAACTCTCTACAGTAATAAAGTTAAAGGTCAAGTTAGATCAATGCTTTGCATCTAAAGAGGAGATTTCTCAAGGTGCTTCATGTAACTATTAAGACTTTTTTTTTTTTTTAAGATTCTGTCAAAACCAGACTTTGCAAACTAGTTTAAAGTAAAGTAGTTGGGGGGCGTCAGTTGAGGGAGAGTTCAGAAGTGTATTGGCATGTACGTTCAGCTGTTTGGGGGAATACTGTGACTGGAGAAACTGATTCTGAGATGTGGAATAAGGAATGGAAAGTAAAAATACTGACTTTATTTGAAGGTGTACCAACTTAAGAATGGTTGATATTTTCCAGAAGCCCAAGGGAGATCATATTTCTAAAAAATACTTATTAGGAGGTCTAGGATTCGCAGGCGAAAATTGCCTTGGCTTATTAAAGAATTTTCTAATATTTTAACTGTTAAGCAGCACTACAGTAGATCTGACATTAGCACACTGATGGAGGAATTGCAGTGAACTCCCAGGAGAAACAGTTCGATTGTCTTTCTTTGTAGCTTGGACCAGAGTTTTGATTTATTGCCTTTATTTCTCTAGGGTTAAAATCCATTATCATTGTAAGATATTACTTACGTTTTTTTGAAATCTTCAGTAAGACCAGAAAAGCCTAGTCCTACTTTCTCTTGGGACTACATTTTTATTATTTCCTTGCAAGTATTTGCTAACATTCTATGGGAGAACCTTGGGAGAGGGATTTAGCATGACTAGGTTGTTGCTTTGTTTTGGAGAGATGAAATTGGATGCTGTTTGAGACATCTGCCTTTGTTAGAGTAGATACAGGAAAGGTCCAACTTCTTATCCCGTTTTTGATAACCTATTGATGTATGTACTATTGCTTTTTGTTTTCTTTTGGTTTTTTCCTCACCTTCAATTAGGGATTTCTCTTTAATTTGTTCTTTTTGTTGTGTTCCAGTAGACTTTTATTACAAATCTTATGTAATGGTATTCTTTTCTTTATTTTCTTGCACACTTCTAAAGGAAATGGTTTGTATTTCCAATCAGAGAGCATGTCTAAACAGCATATGATTTTAATATTTCTAATTTTTCCCCTTTTTAAAATAATTGGTATTTATTGAAAAGTATAAAAATAAAAGCGAGATAGAGATATTATATCATCAGAGAGAAATTATTTGGAACTAGGAGAGAGTGAGGAGATGTAGAAATTGGTAGAATTTCTTTACTGTAGTTTTCAATTTTGCATGAAACAAGTATTTTAAACTAAATAGGTGGCTGTAGACACTGTACACGTGCTTTAAAAAGAATAAGGAAAAGAAAGTCCAGTCCTTTACATAATTTTTAAAAATCAAAGAGTATCAACTCTCATAAGTACTGTTCTGGGCATCTTAAGTCTATGTCTGAAAGGACTTGATTTTTTTAACTTGATTCAGTTCTGTTAAGCAAATAAAAATACTGGGAAAGCACAGAAATTCTGTACTACACTGTGATGACCACAGTAAATGGGTACATCAGGATTGGGGGGAAAAAAAATCTGCAAATAAAAGCTTTATTTTATCTTACTTTGTGCTTGCAGCAACTTCAAGAAATGGATGAAAGAAGGACTATCAAACTTAGTGAATGTTACAAAGGCTTTGCCGACTCTGAGCGCAAGGTTATTCCGATTATCTCTAAATGTTTAGAAGGGATGATCCTTGCAGCAAAATCAGTTGATGAACATAGAGTAAGTAGAATTGAGTGACTTTCTAAATGTGCATGAGCAATTTAACTGATACGGAAGCTGTGGAGAGGGGAAAGACGGACTTACCCTGTACATTTATCTCTATGTTGTCAAATATTTGTCTGCTTGAAAAGTGTTGTGACTCCAGTTTTAGCCTCAGTGGTCACTTCCACTTTCAGTGTCTGTTCTCTTCCTGATTTATTGCTTTCTTGCGATCTGAAGATCTTTGACACTTTCTCACTGTATGTGATTTTGGACACATTGTTTTGGTTATCCTGAAACATCCTGGAATACCAGTGTGGTTGGTACTTTCTCCAGCATGTAGCATTAAATCATCTAAAAGGTGTTCAGTTAACAAAGTACCATTCTATGTCCTATTTGATTGCAGCTATTGGCACTTCTTTCTTATTCCTTCTAATACGGGTTCTTCCCTATTACATCTTACTACATCTAGTTTCTTAGTGTTATCTTCATTTCAGTGCTAATGTTGAAGGATTAGTTTGGCCCTAAAGCATGTCCTGTTTTAAATTTGTGATAACCCTTTGGGAGTATTTGCTGGATTCTGAATAGCAGGGTATGCTTTGATTTACACTCATGGTAACACTGCTGATAAAAAAGGACAGACGTTATCTGAAGTTGATCTATCCAAAAGCATGCATTTTGAACTCTCTCACTTTCCCATCTGTGCATCTCTGCAGTTAAAGGGAAAATTTATGCCTCCGTGTTTTTTTCTCTCCGGTTCTTGATGGGTGTGCTTGTTTTGCTTTTTAAACTCCTTAATGTCCTATGTTTAGGACTCTCAACTAGTGATAGACTGCTTCAAATCCGGTTTTGAACCTCCTGGAGATTTTCCATTTGAAGATTACAGTCAGAATATTTACAGAACTATCTCTGATGGAACCATCAGTACACCAAAGCAGGAAGGAATGAGAATTGATTCAAAAACTACAGTGGGCAAGGCTAAAGGAAAGCTGTGGCTATTTGGAAAGAAGCCAAAGGTAACAATTAAGAAATTACTATTTGGAAAATTAAAATGTGAAGATCTAGAGTGCATGGAAGCAGCAATTTATTTATTTTAAAATAACCTTCCCCTTGCCCGCCACTGTCTTTTGAAATACATGTAAGGTTTGAGGAGGGTTGGATGCTTATTAAAAATCAAGTTCTCACTGGGGGAAGTTTTCCAATTTTTCTTCTAGTGATTTTTGCCTGGGAATGTTTTAATGGTTGTTTGATAAAAGTAGCTTCCCATTTCTGTAACGTTTCTAAGTTTCCATAAAGACTTCCTGCAGTTGCATAGAAAAGGTGTTAATTGTGAATGTAACAATAAGGGGAGGGGGAGTATGCGTGGGGATTGGGCAGACTTCAGATCTCTCTTTTATATTGCAAAAGCAACCCCCTTCTAAACATCACGTTTGGTAGATGTTTATATAAGAGTGTTCTATATAAATTTTTATTATACCTGCTGCTAGTTTTGAAAACTTTGGAGGTTTGTCTGAAAACATTAAAATTTATAATATCTCATTGATAAAGCATACTGTTGAAGCTCCATATGGGTAAATGTCCTAGAAGAAATATTACTATGAAATAGGTAAAAATATTCCTACGCTCAAGAAAAAATTGAAAGCAGAGAAATTACTCCTTTCTTGTATTATTATGAGTTTCAATTAACACTTTCTGTGCAAGATATCTTCGTGGATCAACAAAAAAGATTACAGATTCATGCATTAGCTATATAAATGACTAATGAAGCATACATATTTAAATTTTATGCTAGGTTGTTATTTAGTATGGGAGCATATCAGTGAGTCATTTTAATGATTCCCACAAATTTCAATGAGGTTATTTTAATGCTCCAACTCAGTTTCTGCCATTTATTATAGGAAACTATTCTTAGAGCTTGTTAATGGTAGGATTTATTTTCCACTTGATAGTATTCCAAGAAAGCAGATCTTTACAGAAAGAAAGGATATAGCTGATTCTTTATTCCCTCCTCAGTGTATTATGTAAGTGCAGCTGTGTGTTAAAATGAAAACTGATTGTTTACTTTTCATGCTGTATAATTAATGATTGATAATAGTTGAAATGCATTAATGCATTAGCATATTTATTGCATTTGGCTGCAGAGGTCGGTGAGATTCAGCCTGCTCTGAAATTAGATCATGATTACCAGTTTGACAACAAGGCATCTTTCTGAGCATTTTGGAGAGGGAAGCTATGAATCTGGACCTTGGCATTGTAAGAAATACCTTAGTATGAGGACAGCTGAAGAAAGCAGACAGGAC